GGTTTAAATAGAGTAGTGGATGAGTGGAACAAGTTTCCAAATATCATGATTATTTCGAATATGCTGGATAGCTTCAAACATAGGTTGGATGGATATATGGGCAATAGGGGTTGGGTGTAAATGGGACTGCCCAGTATGGGCCAATAGGCCCGCTGCAGTTTCCTCCATTCTTATGTTTTTATGTTCTTAAAATTGCTTAGGAGGGAAAACTATATCTCTCTTCTAGCTGGGTCAAGGTACACCTGGTTGTACGGTGACCTGACCTAAATGGGCAAGATTATCTCTGTCGCTCTTCCCTCCTATAAAGCAGCTGGGAGAGAAGCTTGCCCTGGGTGCAGGATGAGTGGAGTGAAAGGTTGAGCTCTGGGAGACAAATCCCCATGGTGCTAGTGAGTACTGTATGCCCACCGAGTATCGGTGCTGATTCTTCTCATAGGTACCTTTATCTCTCTTCAGAGGAGAATGACAGAATTCAGAGGAGAATGACAAGACTAATCCCGGGCATTAGGAAGTTCGAGTACAGACACAGGTTAAAGCATCTTAATTTGCACTCCCTAGAGACACGTAGGGTGAGGGGCGATATGATAGAAGTGTATAAATGGAAGGCAGGGCTAAACAAAGGGGACATAACAAAGGTACTCAAACTATCCAACCAGGAGCGAACTCGCAACAATGGTTATAAATTAAACAAATTTAGATTTAGGCGCGAAATAGGTAAACATTGGTTTGGAAATAGAGTAGTGGATGAATGGAACAAGTTACCAAACATCATTATTGACTCGAATACGATGGATAGCTTCAAACATAGGTTGGATGGATATATGAGCAATAGGGGTTGGGTGTAAATGGGTGTGCCCAGTATGGGCCAATAGGCCCGCTGCAGTTTCCTCCATTCTTATGTTATGTTCTTATGGGTGTATGTGGTTTGTCTAACCAAGTCCTGGTGTGAGGTCGACGACCCTGATGGTTGATCTTACACTCTGGACGTGGGAGTGCTATTTGAAGGATTGTTTGGTGCTATGCATGTAGTACACCTTGACGGTAATGGTGAATTCTGGGCCAGTGTTGTTGAGCACGATTACGGGTATGGTGGAGAAAAGCACACATGAATCATGAACCCAAAAGTAAAGTAATAAAAATAAGCAGATGAGTCGCCCCCTGACGAGTCATGAGTGATTTTCTCGGTTCACACATAATTTTGGGTTTCATGTATGTGCATGCTGGATTGGGTTCTGATGATATCAGAATATTATGACTGACCCATGCTATTGTGCAGGTTATTAGTTGCAGTCTTTGGTCTTTGTGTAGTATAGTAATTTAAGAACTAATATTTTTATAGTGGTAAATATTATTTTGTGGGGTTTTCCAGACCACTATGCTATGTTATGGATATTTGTGCTGAAGAGCTGCTGAGTTAAGGATCCTTCGGGTTGTGTTCTAATGGGAGTGTCAGTGGGCTTAAAGTCAGGGAAGCGTAAACTTTGACCTCAGCAACTTCTGAGCTCAGATCACATTGGGACCAGGTTCATATTTTTCTATGCTGGTGATAGGCGTGTCTAACAGTGAAAGATATGTTAAAGGATAAATCCAAATGAATTATTGTGCCATTAATAGTGGTGTCTGGCGATGTAAGATATGTTGAGGGATTGATCCATATGAATTGTTGTCTCTTGTGCAATTAATATTTTTTTAGTACTGTAGGGGTGGTGCTGTTGAGTAATACAAGTGTCATATCATTACCAGTGATTCTCTTTAACCCCAGTCTCAGGAACACCAGTCCAGGTCACGGTAAATACTATATTAATTTTGTTTGTGCTGAATTGGTAATCTGGTGGGCCCTTCCACTGCATTACTATCCATTAAATAAACCCCATTAGGAATTCCGATCGGTTATATATATATATATATATATATATATATATATATATATATATATATATATATATATATATATATATATATATATATATATATACGCAAATACATCACTGTAGATTATTGCATGATGCATGTGTTACGAGTGTCGGAAATAAGAACCAATGAATAAATTTCTGGTCGACATACTTGGGGCACTGGGGGCCCGGACAAAAGCCCCCCTAGTACAAAAGCCCCTCAGTAAAAGTGCAAAATAGGACAGAAGCCCCCTGTTTTTATGTTAAAGAGAGGGTCATTAGAAATATTAAAAATATATAGATTTAAATATGAAATTATTACAATTTAAATAATTAGAATATTATAACTCTTTCAATTTTGACATAGAACATTATTAAATAAATAGAAAAGAAAAACCGACATATTTTACCTTCATGTTCATTCTGTATTTACTGAGGTGACCCTAGGGCCCAGTGAGGTCACTGAATGTCAGGGGAGTAATTACCCCAGTAGACAAAACATATGTCATTGCAGATTTAATAAACATTCCTTGTATACTTCTTTATAACTAAAACAGAATTCTCGAAGGTTAGGTTAGGTTAAGTTAGGTTAAGTTAGGTTAGAGAAGTGTTCATAAACTGTAAAAAAATTAAATTATTATTTTAAAAATTCTTATTATTTCTCCTGAGGGACTTTTGTCCTAGGGGGCTTTATTCTTTGGGCTTTTTGTCCTAGGGAGGCTTTTGTCCTAGGGGCTTTTTGTCCTTTGGGGGCTTTTTGTCCTAGGAGGCTTTTGTCTTAAGGGCTTTTGTGCTTGGGGCTTTTGTCCTAGAGGCTTTTGTCTTAAGGGCTTTTTGTACTGGGGCTTTTTGTCCTAGGAGGCTTTTTGTCTTAAGGGGCTTTTGTGCTAGGGGCTTTTGTCCTAGAGGCTTTTGTCCTACACTCATGAACTTCGAATGATTCGTTGCGTAGACACCGAGGCAATTAAAATTTAGATATTATACGTTATACTTGAAATGTAACATTGGTTTCGATGTGTTAGGTAAAACAAAGTAATGTTTATTATATCATCCCGAATACTAATGAACGAGTGAGCGTTCAATGATTGTTTGCGGATTCGCAACGTGAACGTCTTTTTTGTAGACGTCATTTCCGCCCGCCTCTGCTCGCTTGGTTTTGCTTCTCAAAGCCGGGTGGCTTTTAGTATTGGGCTGGCAGCCATAAGATATGAATCTCCTCTACTATTGTATATTTCTAGTGGTATAACGTGTAAACTTTGCTCGACTTTTAAGAACACCAAGTATTATATAGTGATTTATATGTTTGATCAGGTTTAGTTTGTATTTGTTTATTTTTGTACATAACTGATATATTTATTGTTTGCTTGTTAATATATGTAATTAAATGTACATCATGATTTTCAATATACCCCTTAGTAATGAGGTGATGATTTTGGTGGGATCTATTCCTTGGACCTTCGATACAAAGAGAAGTTGAATTTCAATTGCATTATTACAACCTAAGAGGCCAAGATCGTAATCCTTTTAGTGTCCTTGTGGCCTAGCCGATAAGCGTTCCGTAGTCCCACCCAGTAGGTCGAGGGTTCGATTCCTTGCTGGTGAGGTCGTTGATTATATATATATATATATATATATATATATATATATATATATATATATATATATATATATATATATATATATATATATACCTCATAACCACATAGGAACAAAAACATAGTTTTTAAGTTTTTTCGTATCTACATCTTCAGGGTGAGCGAAGTATACTCATCCCTGAAGATGTGAATTTCACGAAAACGCTTGGGAACTTCGTGTTTTCTTGGAGCTCCAAGATTTCGCCTTTTACTTCTCCAATGTTTGTTTTCACTTCATTTCCCAGTGTGACCATTACCCTCAGGCCTCAAACCATCACACAAGCAAATCCCCATCTAAGGCAATATCAGTACACCACCAGCAGCCACAATTAATGATTTCGTGGCATCCCCTCCAGAATAGTGATCCCATGTATGTAATTATTGTACGACATACTGTATATGTATATAAGTAAAATTATTTCAACAGACACACAACAGTGTCACCAGACAGTGAAATTTTACACATTCAGCTTCAAAACAACAGAACATCTGGGCTTACGGTGATGCTGTCCACCGGGTTACTGAAAATCCAGTCCATAGTGAGGCCGTTGATGTCGATAGGTCTCAGTGGTGAAGTCCGCCTGATAGTTACCGTTCCATTTGTTGCTGATAACAACGTTGTCACATTGAGCTTCTGCTCCTGTAATACAACAAAATCAGACTATATAAGGTGAATCAGTTCTGTCCTGCCTCCTCAGATGTTGAAATTTTTCACCATATTAAATAAAAAAATATGGATAAACATCATTCCAACATGATGTGATTCATCTCTTAAGGACGAGTGCACAATTATTTCAATAATCAATAAATATTATCTTTCCCTTTTGTATATAATTACCTATGAAGGAGGGTAAGGGTGAGTGCTCCCAGCAGACAGGTCTTCACCAGGACGCCAGACATGTCTGCAGCAGAAGAGATTGTGGTAACGGAGGAAGATGCCCGACCTCTTATATACCCACCTGATGGTCACACTACATATATCTACAGCATCTTATGGTCCCAATAAAATATATGATGGTGATATCCGTGTGACGCCAGTTAGATGGCACCCGTGTGACGTCAGCTGTGAGGTACCGATATGACGTCAGCTGTGTGGTGCCCGTGTGACCACCAGCTGTGCCTATCTGTTTTTCTTATACAGTAGTTACCATAGCCTGAGACCTTTATCGTTACACATATACACACACCCTCAAACACACAACACAAAAGCACACATACATACTCAAGAAAAAACACACATTATACAACTTAATGATGGAGTATAACACAAGTGGTTAAGGGACTCACTCTCACAGGCACAGCTGATAGTAATAGAGGTATCAGACAGCTGCCTCATACACACACACTAGTCATATTCTATTTACGAACACTTCGTATCATCCAAGTGATGCCTTTCTCAGCACCCTCTAGTGAGTTTATAGTTTTCTGCATGCACCGTCTGATAAGGTGGACTTCTACCAATATCGTGCTTATGGCGCAGTGAACCTCCACTGTTGATTATATGTTGAAGTCCGCGTGCTATATGGACTAATGAGAGATATATATATATATATATATATATATATATATATATATATATATATATATATATATATATATATATATATATATATATATATATATATATATATATATATATATATATATATATATATATATATATATATATATATATATATATATATATATATATATATATATATATTTTAAATCAATGTAGGTGTGTGTGATCCAGGTATATGCTGATAACCACAAGGAAAAGAAACACGAAGTTCCCTGCTGCTTGTGTTATCATCATATATATATATATATATATGCAAGTAAATCACTGTAGGTGCGCGTGATTTGGTATATGCTGATAACCATAAGGAAAGAAGAAAAGAAGTTCCCAAGGCTTGTGGTTATCAGCATATATATATATATATATATATATATAATCAACGACCTCACCAGCGGAATCGAACCCCGACCTACTGGGTGTGACTAGAACGCTTACCGGCTAGCCATGACACTAAAGCAGTTCTAGACTCTGTTATATTTCACACAAAGCCTGTTCATCGAGCTGATGGCGCGAACCTCAATGGAAACTGCTCAGCTCTTATGTGGTGTCAGTAGCATTTTACCGAATCCAGCTGGTATGAAACAGAGGCTATATATACTGATTCGTAAAATGCTACTGACACCATATAAGAGGCAAGTAAATCACTGTATATATTATCACTTTCTAGTCTGTATCAATTTGAAGATGTGAATTACACGGCGTGGGAACTTGTGTTTTTTTCTTTCCTTGTGTTATCAGTATATATATATATATATATATATATATATATATATATATATATATTGTAGCGTCGTCTCTTAATTTACTTAAATATCCAGGTTCTAGGCGTAACTGCAAAAATCAAACAAAAAAGTAAAGTAAATTCAGAGAATAAAAAATAAACAAAAGTAAACTTCAATTAATTGATTAAATATTAACACACAATAAAGAGCCCCAGAGGCTGTCATATCACAAACATCTACCATCGAACTTTTAAGACACAAGTGATGAAAAACATCGAAACAATCAAAAGCAATAAAATAATATAGCATTGGATTACGTTAACACTGCATAAACATATAAACTATCACTGAAATTAACTAACGTGAAACAACACTGAATTACTTCAATACAACCAAGCAAATACTGATGGACAAAACAGATATACGTACTGTAGATATACCACATTGTATGCGACAGGAACAAATACAACAATTAAATATAAGTAATAAGGCATCAAAGATGACTGTATGAATAAGAGGACTGAACTGACCCAAGTCATTGGTGTCCTATATATATAACAATTCCTCATTAATGCTAACTCGCTTGTGGCCTGTTTAACGATGGCAGATGGTCGTTAGAGAACAAAGAATGCTGGTTAAGTAATACAAAAATAAAAGAAATAAGATAAATAGAAAATAATGATACAAACCTTTAACAGCACAGTGGGTAAGGTAACTAGAATATATATGAGTAAATTTAATACACGCTATAGAATAAGGCAGAATATGTATAATAGTTATATATAAAAAATAGAAAAACACATTAAGGTCGCATGACTTCCATAAAAAGTAAAATTTTGTTTGCACAATTTTGATATGACAAGTGTTCATGTCTTGAAGTCCAATGAAAAAATTGCCAATTTCTTTCTCAACAAATCAGGTAAAAGCCAACTCAAAAATACAAATATATCTCCGGTAATAACCCACACAACCAAAAATCTGTTGGTACTGTCACGGCGGAATAGTATCTATGAAATAGTGTCGCTAATCTTGCTGTGGGAGGAGTGTTTCCAACCCAAATTTATGCGGTCTCAGATGTTAAAACAAAATTTGACTTAGCAAAGTTTATAACAAACAAGTCTCACATTTCCTAACCTGCGAAGAGAGCGTTCAATGGATACTGTAAATGTGAAGCCCAAATTTCAAGTGTCAAAACAAAATTATATCTAAATATACCAACCGCCTCAATTGGCCGTGAGCCTAGCCTTTAGGTAGTAGGGCATTAAAAGTCTAAAAGGAAGCTGGGGCATTAAATTTATAGTTCTTGCTCTAATGTCACAAAATTGATATGTTTTAACATAAACCGGTCAAGTATTGCCAAACCGAAGGAATCAATCTTAGAGAGGAACTATGTTCCCTGATTGCTTGATGCAGTCACGACTCTGGCAGAGGAAGCTGTCCTTGCGGTGATGGCGCGACTGCAGGTTGGGCCGCAGAACCTGAAGAGTGCTGTCCTTCTTGGTACTTTGTGAGGGATCGGCGGCACCACTCATGGTGGGGAGTCGCCGAGGAAATTTAGCAGAACCAATAACAGATCATGGTACCACGGCAGTGGTAACAGCCAGGCTGGTCTGGAAGACAAGAGGATGTTGTTGGATGGCGGTCAGCACGTTGCCTCTGGGTGTCCCGTAGACGATGTAGCTTCCCTGCAATTCCACGGAGTTGAGCCGCCAACCCGGATCTGATGACAGGCGAGTGGACTGCTCTTTCCTTTCTTTCACCGTTCACCAAGAAAGTGTCAACGCGCGGTTATCGAAACCGGATCGTCAGCAACAAATGGGGGTGCTGAAGTGTATGGCGCTGATGAAGTTGACGTGACGACAAGCACTGTAGCCCGCGCCCGTCAGAGATAGTATAATTCGGGGCTTACCTTCCGGGTCACCTATATGGCTCCACTGAACTTCCAAGGAGCGCTGTCCATGTCTCGGTGATTGAGTACTTGATCTATCTGAACTCCTCTGTGCCTGCATACTGTCGTACCATGTCTGGTCTTTGGATCAACAACAGCATCACAAATATCCGCAAGCGTTCCAACAACTTAGAAGCCTCTTAACATCTCCAACTAAACTTAATATTAACGCTCTTCACTACTACCTAAACAACCATCTCTAGCGCTATGTGCAAAGGACCCTTACTGGATGAGCGAACAGTAGAAGCAAGAGAAACAAATGATGGAAGAGGGCCTACAGCAATCTCCTTTTTCCTAAGAGGTAGAAATATGCAAGTAACCTAGGTGGAGGTATGAATGACTGTAAATAAATATTTAAACCCATTAGAAGTTTTAGGGCAGAGGGCTCACAATGTCACACTGTACTGTTGTAGCGTTCAGGTACGTGAGGTACTTCAAGTGGGAGAAGGTGAATAGCCTGATTGGCTTTTGGTTTACCCCTTGACAAAAATGAGACAGTACTTTCATAATATTTAGTGACATCTCTCCTCATACCTGGCTGAACTTTCACAGTTCAGAATGTCTTTCGACACCTTGATGTCCAGAAAAGGACCGTCATGGGCCAGAGCTAGAATGTTGCCCAGGCGTGTGATAACTTATTTGAGTGATTGGTCGCCCAGTCTGCTTCCTGACATAGTCGGTGGGTCAGCGGCGCACAAAGTTACCGTCTTGACTGAAAATATCTCGTGGTAGGTTTCAATCAAACAAGAGCCAATGAATTTGTCTTGCCTTTTGCGCAGCGTTGTGCTAACCTCCTGGTCGCCAGCATTAACTGCGAAGAAATACCTGTAGCTTAAATTGTACAAAAAGTCCTCTAAGGAAAAGCAACCACAACAGGAGCGCTGGCATTATGACTGTTAGTCATTAACAAAAAACGAGTCATTGTTGTATTAAAGCACACCGGGTACATTATCTTCGTTGTTGCAGCAAATACACGAGTGGCGAGGTCCAATTTCTTAGCAACAAGGAGACTTACACTTACTAACATACAGTGCAGCTCAAAGCTCACCGGCTACGTTTAGCTATACCTTTAAAACCAAAGTGAGCTGCACCTTACTCTAAAGGGGGCGCCCAAAACGACGTTTTGTCAGCCTTCCTCACCTCAACAACACCCTCTTTGATGAGAGTTTGCGACAACCTTGAGTTCCCCAAAATAGTGGGATCAGGTTTCTGACACAGTCACTTTTACCGTGCCTTGTGACAAAAGGACGAAAGAAAACGTCTGGGTCCTTCCAAAACTTCCTGAAAAAGACCGAAGTCTCGAGGCGAACTGAAACTGCAACCTCTCGTAAGCCACCTATTTGGCTAGCCTTATTCAACAACAAAAAATAACATGCCCAGACCAAGGGTTTTCCACAGAAACCTATGCATCAGTAAAAT